TTCCATTTTATGGGTCTTAATAAGAAATGTCATCTTTTTATCTCCTTTTTGTAATGAATGTTAGAAAGGGTAGGACCAAATTTCAGATCCCATCAAATAGGGCTACAGAACTATTATTTCAAATACTACTTTCTTGTTAAGTTCTATTTGCCATTTCTAATGTAATTTTTAAAACCTTATTTCAATCATTTGCATTATTATTTTTTTAAATGATCAACTGAAGATATTTTTTCCATTGCTTTGCAGAGAGAGTGAAAGGGAGGGAGGGAGAGAGAAAAACATCAATGTGAGAGAGACACATTGACTGGTTGCCTCACCCACTATTCCACAACCAGGATCAGGGAGAGAAGCACAACCTAGGTAAGTGCCCTAGACCAGGAATCAAACCCACAATCCTTTGGTGTGCAGACCTACGCTCTAATCAATGAGCTAACCAGCCAGGGTGCATTTTTTACGTGTTATCTTTCTGTAAAGTGATTTTTTATATAAACATTCTTAAATTATTTCTGGGACAATTGGGAAACAACTATATTAATGAATAAATCAAGTAGTATCATTAAGGGAAGAGAAAAGGTATAAGAAATGGCAAAGACCGAAGCAATTTCTTCACTGATACAGCTCCTAGGGCAGTTGAAACTAAAGAGAAAATGAACAAATGGGACTACATCAAAATAAAAAGCTTCTGCACAGCAAAAGAAACCATCAACAAAACAACAAGAAAACCCACTGCGTGGGAAAACATATTTGCCAACGTCATATCTGATAAGGGCCTAATCTCCAAAATTTATAGGGAACTCATACAACTTAACAAAAAGAAGATAAACAATCCAATCAAAAAATGGGCAAAGGACCTAAATAGACACCTTTCAAAAGAGGACATTCAGAAAGCCAAGAGACATATGAAAACATGCTCAAAGTCACTAATCATCCGAGAGATGCAAATCAAAACAACAATGAGGTACCATCTCACACCTGTCAGAATGGCTATCATCAACAAATCAACAAACGACAAGTGCTGGAGAGGATGTGGAGAAAAAGGAACACTCGTGCACTGCTGGTGGGAATGCAGACTGGTGCAGCCACTATGGAAGACAGTATGGAGTTTCCTCAAAAAACAAAACATGGAACTCCCATTTGACCCTGTGATCCCACTTCTAGGAATATATCCCAAGAAACCAGAAACACCAATCAGAAAGGATATATGCACCCATATGTTCATAGCAGCACAATTCACCATAGCTAAGATCTGGAAACAGCCTAAGTGCCCATCAGTAGATGAATGGATTAGAAAACTGTGGTACATCTACACGATGGAATACTATGCTGCTGTAAAAAAGAAGGAACTCTTACAATTTGCAACGGCATGGATGGAGCTGGAGAGCATTATGCTAAGTGAAATAAGCCAGTCAATGAAGGAAAAATACCACATGATCTCACTCATTCATGGATAATAAAGACCATTACAAACTTTTGAACAATAATAGATACAGAGGCAGAGCTGCCTCAAACTGATTGTCAAACTGCAGTGGGAAGGCCAGAGAGGGTTGGGGGGCAGAACGGGGGAAAAAAAGGACACATATGTAATACCCTTTGTAATACTTTAAGCAATAAAATAAATAAATAAATAAAATAAAATAAAATTATAAAGCAAAAAAAAAAAAAAAAGAAATGGCAAAGAAACATTTTTGTAAGGTATAAAAATGTCAAATCACTCTATTGGACACCTGAAAGTAATATAACCAATAGAAGACTGTATGTCAACTATACATAAATAAAAAATTAATTAAAAATAACATTTTTAAACAATAGAGGTTTTAAAAAGAGAGAGAAATTTCATTTTAAACGGTGTGAGGGTTGTTATATTTGGATGTTTAAATCAGAATAAAACGCAGAATGGGTAGAAAATTGGCTGGTTGAGTGATGAAGGTACAGGGACACAGAATCTCAATAACTAATGTGTGCCTGAGAAATTCACAAAACAGAATATTGAGCAGCTAAAAGTACAGGAAACTGACCATTTTCAGCAAGGAATATATAATACAGGGTTGCAGAAAGCTAAAATGACAGAACATATATTATAATCATGGAGAATACTAACAATGGCTTTATGATCCAGTAGTGACATGTAAATATCCAAAAGGAAAAATGGAACATCGGAGCTTTTAGAATTTCAGCAAGGGCATAATAAAGAAACAAGATGATAGAATGGAAAAAGAAGGAAGCGTTTTATTTACAGGACTGAAATGCTGGTTGAAATATAAAACTGTATTAGGGAAAGTACTGGTGTTTATTCATTATTTTTTTATATTTGTGGAGAATGTAGACACATTTTAAAGTGGAAAAATTAAAAAAATATTATGTGAATCATATTGCAAAGTAATATGTACATGTCATCTATAACAGAAAATCTGTAGAATCACCTTTGGTTAAACTTGGGGATTGATGAATCATGGAAAGAGGGTCATGGTTGGAAAAGACAAAGAAATAAAAATATTCACTGGAAAAGAGTGAATATGATTCTTTTAAGAAAGAAAAGGTTATGCAACTGATAATGCCATAGGGAGAAAATCATAAGGCACCAAATAATATGAGCAACATGAGCAAAATCATTCATGCCTTTGTTAGGAGGAAAATTTATGAATGAAAACCTTATGATTGAACTACACTGAGACCAGAAAATAAGTATCTGAGATGTAACTAATGACTGGGACGGTACAAATTTACACAAGAGAAGAATTAAGAAAATCAAGAATCTCAATTCTGTTTACATGGTATTTATTTCCTGAAAGATACATGTTACCTCAAGAAATGTTGCATTTGGAAAATCTGTTTCATTTCGCATTGTTTGCCAGAAAAATCAATTAAGTTTTAAAAGTACATTGTCAGTCACTACTTGGAATTAAAGGCAGCAATGAAAAATTACATATTTTAAGTAGCAAAACTGTATTATATAAACTTGGACAACAAACATAAACCACATG